TAATCTGTTCTTCCAAATATAGCTTTTTCAGTATCCATTTTTAAACCATTCGATACCCTTTGTAGGGCCCAGTTTTAGTTTTTCCCAAAATCCATTTTATATTTTGCCAGCTTCTGTGTTTACATTTTTTTTTTTCTGAATTTGGTTTTAATGGTTTAACTCAATTTTAATCAAATTAATTCATAAAACTTAAAAATTCAAGATTTTTATTTGTCACATACAGAGTTATATATAGAATACAACCTGCAGTGAAATGTAAATATGGTTCACTCTAAATAAAATGCATAAAATATATGAAGGATAAACCTAATGGAAAAAGTAAACCTGAGATAGTCCAAAGACTGTATGACTGCATACAATAGAGCTGATACAACAATAATAGTTAAAGTTCAATTCAAGTTCAATAATAACTAGTCAAATGTACAGGTAATGTGCAAAATAAAGAATGTTTTACAAAATAAATAACAGTAATAGTGTTATTAGTAATAGTGTTAATCATCTGTTTAATTTTTTCTAGATTGTTTTATGTTTTAATATAATTTTAATATAAAACATAGTCAATCAAATGAATGCATACGTTTAATTAATCTTTTTAAAAATCAAATGTAATCAAATAAAATTTGAACAATTCCTTACATTTTTTTTCTTAAACAAAAAGTGCTGATTTTTGCGGTTTTAATTAGCATTGACAAACAATTGTGATATTCCTTAAAATAATATTTTAATTAACTCTATTATTATTATTATTGTTACTATTACTTTGAGAAGTTCATTCTCGTGTACAATAGTGAGCTAACGCACAACATACCCGTTAGGCCTGCGTAATTTCCGTCATAATTTCTTCAAGGTAAACCAAACCTTTATTTTGGCGAGTAGCAGTGAAGACTTTTGAGTTTTGTGTGTGAATTTTAACAATAGTTAGTTTTATCAAATGAAATGGTGATATGCTGGTGAAGTGAGTCTCAGAGCAGCTCTTGACATGAAGTTCATGATGAGCATTGTCCTCATATAGTGAGAAGGCAGAGACAGAAAATACCAAGAGCACATGTATGTGTAGACAAAACTCAATTTCACAAAGAAATACACGTGGAATATGCAGACTTCATATTCCAAGCAGTCTAATACTTAGTCCATATCACAGTTTGATTAAGTGAATAACTGTACTTTTGATAAATGTTTCCAAATGTTGCCCAATTCCGTTAGATGGTAAATTCCATTTTAATTAATGCAATTCAGTCTGTTTTCTGCATCGTGTAAATCACAGGGCCCTATTGTGATCACTGAAATTCATAGGGCAATGAAGTGAATGATACATTCTGATGTTATAAGAATTGTTTAAATCCACAAATGGCTTTCTGAAAAGTTCTCACAGACAAATGCAAATCTCCAATATAAAATGTTCCAGGATGTCATTTCAACTTAGTTCCAGTGAGTTCACAGGCAAAGCCCTGAAGAAGTTCTCCTCCAAAAGCTGAGGATAATTTCAGCCTCAGGGGCTCATCAACCTCAGCGCAACAAGAAAAAATTCAGAGGCCCCACTCCACCAAAAATAAACAGGTAAATATGAACAAGCCTGCGGCATGGTGGGAAATTATGCAAATTGTATTTCCACTGAGGTGAATCTTGACTTGAGCTTTACCGATCGTTGAAGTAAAAATACCACAGTAGCGACTGGCTCTCAACAGAGATATATATCTCCAAACAGCTGAGAAGTGTATAACATTGCAACAGAAATGTAAGTATTGGCTAAAATTTAGTGATGGAAATGGTTTGGTAATGGGAGTTACAACTGATGAGGAGTTGTACACTTTTGGCAACCATTTGCTGATTTGCTGCAAATCTGCCACAAAACAGCCACAGGTTTGCCACAAATCAACAGTCATATTTTGCACGTTGGAAGTGAGCTTCTAAAGTATTTTCAAAAAGAGCAACTGTGTATGCTGAAACATCACTGATTCAATTGTTCTCTTAACAACTGCTGAATATGTATGCTCACAATCGTGCCACCACTGTGTGAAACAGTTTTATTGATCCTTATTACATTACTTGGATATTCTTGAAACATCTCAAATTTAAATGGTAAATGTAAGATTTGATATATTTGTGCAAAAGAATCAACTTTAAAATAGTATAAATTTAGTCTAATAAAGGTGAATGTTAGTAAAAATATCTTTAAAATCCTTAAAACAAGAAATGAAGATTTATATTCAGAGACTATCAAATATCTTGTTTGTTTTAAATATTTATTTGTCAGTGGAATATGTAAAAAACAAACTTCAAGATACATTTTAGATGTTTTTTTGCTTTAAGATGTTTATTGCTTTTCAAGTATAAATCTAATGCAGTTTAATAATGTTTATGCTTAAAACAAGGAGAAAAACATGGGGATGAAAAAATAATAATTTTAAAGATATTTTCTGTTTTTTTTAAATATATATTTTATTTTTATATTTTAAATATTTTATTATGCATCTTTTTAAAGAATAAATAGATTCATCCCAGGCATGCAAGCAGGAGAGGATCCAAAGATGTACAGTATATGAGGGCAACTACTGTGCGACATAATTAAAAAATATGAAGCAGTGCGGTATCGATTCACATCCAATATAGATAGATGAGCTGGAGAGGTTATGTGTGCTCACAGAAGGGACCATATCGACATGAGTTTGCCTGATCCCATCTTTAAACTTTAACATATTCCCATAAACATTTAAACACAATCTATATAGCCCTTTAGGGGTTATGATAGAACATCTCTAAGATTGCATGAAATTAAAACTTGTTCATATGAAACAGTTTTTTTAATAGGTTGGTGTACATCACCCTTGGCAAAGAAATGTATTGTTTTAATTAATTTAAAGCATGACGCATTTGAAACAGGCAGCCTGAAGCCAAACTCATCCCCACTCAAGCGCTTGTCTAAATGGTGCATTTTAAAGATATTTCAACTGTTTTCATGTCAACACTAATATAACATCGTAACAGAAGTGGATTCATCAGTCAATTAATATTTGCTATATTTACCTGAGCTATAGCACAACAGATGTTTGGCTGGCATGGTCCTTTTAGGATGCTGGATCTAAACCGTCTGGCTACAGATCTTTCTCCACTGACGGCCTTTCAAAAGTAACTGTACTGTTGAAATAAATTGTTTTGAAAGCAACAAATAAATTGTATCACAGAATTGTATTACAGATTTACATAAATTAATAAACTTAATGTGATGCATATAAGAAAAGGCAAGACTTCTGCACTCAAAATAAAAAAAATAAAAAATAAAATATTGGCACGTTTTATTATTAACTATTTGCATATATTTAATTGTAATCATATTTTCAAAATGAATTCTAATTGCTTAGAATCAGCTTAAATCTGTTGTAAAAGCAATTACGTTTAGTTAAAAAGTATTAACATTAAAATATGGATAGCTGTAATGTATAAGATTTAGTGATGATAAATATATAAATCAGGCTATTGTGTATTTAAAGCAGTCGATTTATGAATACAATTACAGAAATCTTACATTTATGTAGGACTGAAAAATATGAATTACATCGTGTTTTAGTTATGTTAAAATGGCATAATCCAAATGGATGGAAATATATTTAATTCAAATGCATAAATCTTATATTTAAATGATGAGTGTACAGCAGATATTTTGCAAGTAATTAATATTTTTAACTCTTAAAGGAATAGTTCAAGCTCAGTTGGTGACTGACTAAAAATAAACAAATATGGCATAGGCTATTTCGCCCATAAGCAATTTAGTCTTTAATATTCTTAAAAAGCTGTGTTAACTTGGTTAATTTAGGAATTTCATCTTATCTAAAGAAATATATAGCTCAGTATCATCAGCACAACAGTGGAAACTAATCCAATGTTTTCTCATAGTTTTTCCAAGAGGCAGCTTATATATGAAAACAGCAGAGGGCCTAACACAGATCCTTGCAGCACTTCATATTTTACCACTGTAAGGTTAGATGCGTCCTCATTTACAGAGACAAAATGGTAAGTGTAGGACAGGTAGGATCTAAACAACCCAAATCCTGGAGGGCCAAGCCCTGCAGAGTTTAGTTCCAACTCTGATCCAACACATATATCATGTAGTTTGCAAACAGGCCTAAAGGACTTAATTAGCTGAAACTAAACTCTGCAGGGTTGTAGCCCACCAGGAACTGTGTTTTGCACCCAATCTAAACCATCTTAATGCCTGTTCCTGAATACCAATGTTATTCTGTAATCTATCTAACAGTATGTCATGATCTATGATGTCAAACACTGCACTAAAATCGATCTAAGCACTGAAATGCAGCCTTAGTCAGGTGCTAGAAGCAAGACATTTGTAATTTTACCAAGTGCAGTTTTAGACATTTTAGACACAAATCTAATATTTGAAACATAAATCATATATCACATACTTTCAGGAGGTCCTGCACCAGCTGGGCATCTGCCATTGAGATGAACAGGAATGAAACTGGATGGTTGAGGTATTATAGACCTCAAACTGTGAGCTGCCACAGTCAGAGCACTTTCCTTTATAGAAAGTTGAATTCTCACTACAGGACCCACTCTAACATGAAAGACGATTCAAGGGACTTACTTTGTCAAAAAAGTACATGTTCTACATTTCAAAAATAGACAGTGACAGAGCCTTTGAGTGGAATCAAACATCATCCTCGGAGACGCTTCAGTATTTTTATTGTCAGTACTGCAGCCGCTGCACCGGTGGCTCCATGTCACACTGAGAGAACACCAATAACACACATATTCCCTGTGAGTGCTTGTGCGTTTACTTAAAAAGGAAATGGTGCATTTCTCTTCAGGAGAACAGAGAAGACATCCTGCAGCGACACTCACTCCCGCCGGAAAACAGAAGGAGGGATGAAGAAAGAGGGGGTGGGATTTTCTTTTAATGACACTGTGTGTGTATATATATATATATATATATATATATATATATATATATATATATATATGTGGCAAATGATAGGACCAGTGTGTCCGAGACATTCTTTATCCAAAGAGTCAGATCTCCAAGTACATTTCAACAGTATAAATACAGTCCCACATAAATACATCCTCCACTTAAGAAATCAAACAAACAATAACATTGACGAAACCAACAACAGTAGGCAGTAACACTGACCCGATCTAAACCAATGGAACCAAAAAACCCAACAGTATGTCAGTGGATTGGTTTGATGGGCTCTGCACTGGGTGAGGTTGATTTGCATGAAATGAAAGTTGCACCATGCAGATACACACGTGCTTTTACAATATGAAAGCACTGATGAGACAGAAGGAACGGGGAACCGCAGAGAGACACAAACGAGAGATGACAGAAGCTTGATCAGGACACGGGGTTGTGGAGAACTCTACTGGAGGTCTGAGACTAGACAAGCTCAAGTGGCTTAGATATAGTTCATATAAGATGGTGTGAATAGTGATGTGGCTTGTAGGTTTGCTCTGTTAGATGGGCAGCTGGAATTTGACATCAACCTGGGCCTCTTTGGCCAGCGATACAATTTCAGAAAGCTTTACAACCTAGAAAAAAAGATTGAGAAAGGTATGGTAAATATTTCAGAGTTGACCTTTAATTATGATCATCTTAATTATAACACAATGACCTAAATTTTAATAGTAAAATGCAAAAAGTGATGATTGTTGATTGTTAAAAAAAAGCTGTACATAACTGTACATAAAAAATCAGTATGTCCTGCATGGCTGTCTTAATCATACAGTGGTTCCGCATTCAGGGAGGAAAGACAAATTGCTTGTAGCTGGAAATCTGGTTTGTATAGTCATTGTATAATAATGAGATTTGCTTTGATTCTATTTGACAGCAACATTTGCTTTAATTTTTCCTTTTGTACACTTTCCCCTTTTTAATTAACACAGGTGCAATTTGTTACGTTAGTTATTGGATTAGGTAGCATGAATTAACAATGAACAGCATTTGTTTTACACAGCATTTATTAATCTAGATGAATTTATTCATAATTTATTTGTTTGTTTATTCATAATACATTAACGCCATTTATAATTTATACTTGAAAGACGTATTATGTATTTATTTTTTTATTTATAACTTGAAATATTAATATATGTAGAAATTAATATTATAAAACTAACTAATTAATGAATTGAACCTTGTTGTGAAGTGTTGTGAAACCATTTTTTCTTATGCATGTGAATTTTTATTCTTTATTCTCCCAAAAAAAATAAAAAAACTTAAATGCTGCCATTTGAAACATTAATGGCAGGTAAAGTTGTGGGAAGTTTTGTCCTGTCTCTCAAGAAAGTGATATGAGTTTGGAACAACTGAGGGGTGACTAAACGATGACAGATTTTTCATTTTTGGGTGAACAGCTCCTTTAAAACCTCATATTTCTTTGGACTATCAATTTGATTCCTGAACCATGATGGGCAGATTCATCTCTCCATTTCCACCCCGTGTCAGTTTCAATTTGCCCATATGCATGCATAAATAAGACAAACGCACCATTTTGGCCGCCTCGTCCAGATCATCACAGGCCAGGATCTTCAGAGGGCTGGCAGCGATCAGAGCCTTGGCATCGTCCACTCTTGTTCCTGGATATCAGACAAGCGTGATGAGAGTGAGATGAAGGACAGAAAACATGAGCCACCTGCACAAATATCCCTTTCCAGACACCTTTTTTCTTTCTGTCACCCTTCTGTCAATGTTTCCTCTCTCCCAGACGTTCCAGGTCTTCTTGGGGGATTTGTGCTACCTTTTATTGATATAGACAGTACAGTGTTCTCACAGTTTCTCACTAATGAATTTCCAGGACTTTTCCATGACCTTTCTAGTCGTCTGCACTTACTGGATAAGGGTTTTTAATAATTTATCAAATTCAGACTTCTTCTCTAAAGAATTCTAAGAAGCGTTCTGACCAATCTGTGAACCGGTTAATAATAATAAAAAAAAGAAACAAACAATTTCAATATCATAATAGCTAGCAAGTTGCAAGCAAGTTTTACTTTATACAATAGCAACATCTAACCGATGACATGATTTTAAAATAGTGTGTAACTAGAAAAATCTATATTTACTATAATCATTTTATTTAATGAATAAACTCTGATAAGCCTTTGTGTCCTGTTCATGTGATTTTCTAAGGAAACCTGAAGTGCTTGTTCTTTTGGGTATAACTGATAATATGATTCAGTTTTTCAGATCAGCGTCCTTTTAAACAAAGTTTAAAAAGTTGGGTTTCAAACTATCCCTTCACCTCTCCATTAATCAAAGTCACCCGCACCATCAATCATAATCATAGTATTAAGTTCGGTCTCTCTCACCTTGTAACCGCACTACGATGGGGATTTTCAGTTCTAAGTCAGTGACAGCCATGATAATGCCCTGTGCGATGACATCACACCGCATGATGCCACCAAAGATGTTCACCAAAATAGCTTGGACCTGTTACAGAGAACACAGAAAAACACTGAATACTTTCTGGCATAAGAGATGTGATAAAAGAGCGGCAATAAGAACAGGAGACAATGTAATTCCCTTGATCATGATATTACCTTTTTATCAGAGGTGATGAGCTTGAAGGCTTCCGTCACCTGCTGTGCAGTGGCTCCGCCTCCAACATCCAGGAAGTTAGCAGGTGTTCCACCATGTAGTTTAATGATGTCCATGGTGGCCATAGCGAGTCCAGCCCCATTGACTAAACACAGGTGACATCATATGTATTGTTTACACATACACATATTCAAACTAGTCAAAATGGTACATCAACACAGAAAGTTTACTGAAAGTGCAAAATGTAATATATAAAGATCTTTAGTTCTAATTCTTTTTTTAGAAATGTTAAAATATAAAAAAAATGCTGATATGTGGGTTTCATTTTTGAATCGTCCACTCAGTGCTGTGATAATGTTTCTCTAATGGATGTTTGTGGGTATTTGTACTGACCCAGACAGCCAATAGTGCCGTCTAGGCCGATGTAGTTGAGGTCTGCTGTGGCTGCCTGTCTGTCTCTGGCATCCTCCTGCGTCCAGTCTCGCATGTCGAACACTTTCTTCTGTCTATAGGCAGCGTTTGAGTCAAAGTTGATCTTAGCGTCCATACACATCACTGCAAAGCACAGAAGAAAACATCTATGAATGCATGAAACTATGGGCCTGTTATGGATTATAAAGGTGGACAGCATTTGAAAAACTGACCATGCATTGTTTTTCTGCACTAACACTGTTAAAGCATCCCAGAGCCAACACAAATTACCAACACATTCTAATAAGCTGAAACAAACACCAGATCTTGAGCTGCACAAAAGTAAATGAGCACAGTGTCACATTTAACTTAACACAAATAATTATTTGATTTAATTGCCTTGTCCAAAAATCCATATTGCAATATTGATTGTGCAGCTCTAGGACTGGGGTTGTTTAATGTGTACATAATGTATATAAAGTATAAGGTGTCTGCTTTAGGGTACCAATGCCAGATGAATCCTCCACCATTGGGTTGATCTCCAACATAGATGCATCATACTTGATGAACACATCATAAAGTTTCAACATGTTTTTTGCAGCTTCATTGATCAATGCAGGGGGGAAACCCATCTTCTCTGCTACCTGAGAGAGAGAGAGAAAAAAAAGAATAAAAACATTTTTCATGCAGGGGTCAGTGTGGGAACTGTCTATATACACAGTAATACTCTGCACCTCACCTTAACAGCCTGATCCATCTTTATTCCCTGCATGATATCAATAGGCTCTTTCACAATAGCATCAGGATTCTCTGCAGCCACATCCTCAATGTTCACGCCCCCCTGAGAACTGCCAATCAGCACAGGGCCCTGTAGGTGGAACAGAACCCATATCATTTTCATGGCCGGTGAAACCAGTAAAGTGCTGACATTTCAGGTCACGCCACAGTAAAAGTTGCCCTCTACTGGCCTTTCTGCTTACTGCAGCACATAAAGTGGTGATGTCATTTTTGAACGCTTGTAAAAAGACTTTGTACTTGAATGCCCATATGCAAAGCAGTTTAATAGTTAAACCATGCAGTAATGGCCCAGTCCGTGACCTCTCACCTGGAAGGACCTCTCCATGGTGATGGCAAAATAATACTCTCGGCGTGGGTATCTGCGCTCGCAGATAAACACCTGGTTACAGATCCGCCCTGCCTCTCCTGTCTGCTTAGTGAACAGCTTCTTGCCAATCATCTTAGAGGAGATATCTCTCGCTTCCTCTGGCCTGCAGACACAAAGCGAGTGAGAAGACAGGGAAAATTGGAAAAGTAATAAAGTGATGAAGAATAAAGTAAGCACAAACACTCACGAGTAAACGATTCTGACACCGCCTTTCAATATGTCATTTTTGAACGCTTGTAAAAAGACTTTGTACTTGAATGCCCATATGCAAAGCAGTTTAATAGTTAAACCATGCAGTAATGGCCCAGTCCGTGACCTCTCACCTGGAAGGACCTCTCCATGGTGATGGCAAAATAATACTCTCGGCGTGGGTATCTGCGCTCGCAGATAAACACCTGGTTACAGATCCGCCCTGCCTCTCCTGTCTGCTTAGTGAACAGCTTCTTGCCAATCATCTTAGAGGAGATATCTCTGGCTTCCTCTGGCCTGCAGACACAAAGCGAGTGAGAAGACAGGGAAAATTGGAAAAGTAATAAAGTGATGAAGAATAAAGTAAGCACAAACACTCACGAGTAAACGATTCTGACACCGCCTTTCAAACCTCCCTCAAAAGTGCCTTTGCCTCGACCACCCGCCAACACTTGGGCTTTCACTACCAGGTCTTTAGAGCCTGAAAAAAAGAGAAAGAATAAACAAGAAAGATGAAAAACCTTGAATAATGCCAACCAAACAGACACAGAAGTCCACAAAACACACGGCCGTGCTCAAACAAACAAATAGCACATAAATTGACAGAGATGAAAAATTCACTACAGAGCTGCTGCATCCTCAACCAGTGAGTCACACTGTAATTAGCTACAGTCTCGAAACCTGCACAGATCTGCTGTACAGACACACAAAACAGGCTTCCAAAAGGCTGGACCTGATTGTTATGATAAATGTAATGGCACATAACAGACCAGGAAGGATTAAATCGTTTTAATTCATTTGGATTTAAACTGCATAACCAGTTGAAAACAACAGACGTGTGACGCCAATAAGAATGATTTAGGAAGGCACTCAATTCCGCCTGTTTAGTAACAATTCAATTTCAACTGGGAGTTGTAATTTTACGAGCTAACTTTTCAATAAACAGACAGAACTATGCATTTTATTAATACAAAAATGGTATTAATAAAAATGTGTTATTATTTACTCACCCTCATTTTGTTTAAAACCCAAAAGACCCATCCTAACAAGGAAATATTAGGCAAAATGATCATGCTGCCTTTTTAATGCCTAATGGCTTGAATTTGACTGTTCCTCATTACACTACAAGTTGTACAAGTTTAAGGCAGTGATGTTTTAATAAATTAATATTCAGCATGGATGCATTACATTTATCAAATGTGCTAAAGACATTTATAATGTTACAAAAGCTTTCTATTTGAAATAAATGCTGTTCTTTTAAACTTTCTATTCATCAACAAATCCTAAAAATATGTATTATGGTTGACAAAAATTGGTAACATTGGTAATAATAAGAAATGTTTCCTAAGCACCAAATCATCATACTAGAATCATTTCCAAGAGATCATGTGGAACTGAAGACTGGAATAATGACTGCTAAAAAAATCCAGCTTTGCCATCACAGAAATAAATTACATTAAAAATAAATTAAAATACTAAAGTTATTTGAATTTACAATAATATTTGACAATATTACTGTTTTTTATCTTTTTTTCTGGAATTGTTAATCCCTTTTCATGGTTGCTTTCAATGTATGGAAAACAGCAGCATGAATGTAATAATAATAATTTATGCATTTAGTCCAAAGCGACTTACAGTGCATTCAGGCTATACATTTTATACCAGTATGTGTGTTCCCTGGGAATCGAACCCACAACCTTTTGCGCTGCTAACACAATGCTCTACCACTGAGCCACAGGAACACTAGATGAACCTCCACAGAACATCTGTCACAGGAGGTTTAGACATCAAGAGGGTGAGTAAATACTGACAGAATTTTCAGCTTTGTACGAATGAACGACTTACCTTTTTAAAGTTGTACCATGTTGGAGCACTGAAAAAGGGAAGTGCCCCACAGAATGCTATTAAACTGCTGATTTGGCATTGTGAAACTATACATTTTTCCAACTTTGGCCATGTTGCAATTGTGCAAATAAAACACTCCTACTTTTTGCAACCCTGAATGTACAGTTCAGTGCATTTACCAGAAATGAAATGCACAGCAAATTATTAGGCTATTCATTTGGAAACAGTAAGTTAAAGAGTAAAATCCAATTTTATTCAGATCTGAGACACACCAAGATTCAACCTAATGGGTCACTTAAACCCATTCTCTATTGTGCATGTTTCTCAGTCTAAAGCTAGTCCCTTGCTTGTGACACCCTACCCTCCTTTATTCCAGCTAACAGCACTGCCTGTCCATCACGGGTCTGTGCGGGTGCTGCCTATATGCTGACAGTTAGATTAAAGTTTAGGCCAGCCACATTCTCCAGAGGTGGCGCAAATCTATGTTTAGCCTGCAGTGTGTTTGAGAACAGCACAACAGCTGAATTCAAGACCCTAAAATAGGGTAATCTGGCAGTCCTGTTCAAAACACTGTAATCTGACCTGCGTAAAAGCATTGCCAATGGCATTCCCTAAATGTATATACGCTGTGTTGAAATACTACTCAAGATCATTCCAATGTGAAAAATATGTAAACAGTGGAAAATACAACTGAGTCGGTGTGCATATGTTATGGAACAGTTATGCAGCCTGCATTCCTTTGAGAATAAATATTGTCGACTTTCCTCAATTAGTGCCCAGCTGCATACGTTCATGTGTTCTTACCGATCTGCTTGGCAACAGCATAAGCCTCATCAGGCGTGCTGGCCACCAAACCTGTGGGCACAGAGATGCCCGCTTCCTTCAGCAGCCCGATGCTCATGTATTCATGCAGGGAGAGGTTCCTCTGCTGCTGCACTGACAGCATTGGAGACGGCTGGTTCCCATGATTACCAAATAGACCCGATGTCCCACCAAGCACCTGGTAATCGAACGTTAAGAGAGAAAATGCTAATTAAATCCAACACAAATAAATTCTGCCAAACGAGACTGAACAAGCGATACTGTTGCTACAAAGCCATGGTCATATTTACACCGCAAACACTAACTTCTGTAGATTGCTAAATGTAAATAACAAACGGAAACATGAACAAGCAAATTCTCAGCTTTACAAGGAAAAGGACTTTCCCTTTCCCTTGCTCAATAGATTAATACTTAACTGACTTTAGTAGAGTCTTTCAATAATATGTGGGATATTAGAATATGTGGTATCATTATGTATATTGAAACAGACTGTCTGTACCAGCAATATAAAGATGATTAACTGATGAACTAATGACTGATTAATATTTTTGCTGTAATCCAGAGTACACTCAATATAGGAATAGTCCTTTATGGAGCGACTTGGGTGTCTTACTCAAGGGTACAACCTTCTAATGACCAAACAAAAGACATTTATGATTCAGGAAGGTTTACAGTAAAGAATACTATCATTTTGTTCATTACAACAAGCATATTTTGCAGTTCTGAGTGGTTTAAGAGTTAACTTTATTAACCAGCTGGCACTAGAGTTGAACAGAAACACTGAAGTGAAACAAAACAGACTGTCCATGTAGGTCAACGTTAACTCGGAACCCCAAATGACATGTACAGTGTGTATGATAGCCATATAAACAAACAAACACATTAAGCTCCCAGACAGAATTTAACCTACATCTGCCTAACTCCAAAAGAGCATCCGTTCAATAGAAAATGAATAGGTTTGCAAATCTAAGCATTAGTAATAATGACAGGCAGCTAGCCTGAAGGCTAATGTCAAAGGAGAATCGCCCACTTGGTGTCACTAAAAGTGGTCAAAAAAGCAAGCCACTTCACAAATGACAGTCGGATATAGTTATCTGATGTGTGTACGCAAAACTGACCCTAGCTGCCGAGCTTAAAGTCGTCCTTGGGCCGGAATGCCACAGTCCAGCGGACAACCGGCCACAGATCAGGGACGTCGCCATGTTGCTCTGTGCACAAGCAGCGCAGCACCAAAACAAATGACTGCACGCGCCTGCGTCAGGACGTGCGTCAACTGCGCAACTCCACTTTGAGAATCGCAGCTAGCTATTTCCTTCCCCGTGAACCAAAGATTACTATTCAAATCAATTCACGCGTTTACTGTGACAAAGATTTGCTTTCTTTTGGGATTTAAGATGATTTAATTTGTAAAATGTCTACATCTCATAGTGCACAAGCTTCAACCAGATCGTGAAAGGTGTGCTTTCTGTTAGGAGACTCATCTACCAAGTAAGATATAGGTAAGTTTAGACCATGGTGTGATTTCCAGTAAAGTGTTGCTTAATTATGCTTATGCGGATCCCCAGCATTGCACGTCCTTCCCTCTCACTAGTAGTCTTTTCAGTCTGCTCAGCAAAAAGATTCCTTCAGTGACTCTTTTCATACTTACGCCAGTAGATGGCAGCAAGTGAGTGTACTTTTGTGCGTTGTGACAAGTTATTGAATCATGTACCTGTCATTCAAAAATGGTGTTTAAGCCACAAATCACAATTAAGCAGATCTATTCATATTTTCTCCACCTTGTCAAGTTCTAGGTATGACTTTTGACATGCTATAACAAAAAAAGGCATTCGTTTCTACAGTGTAGCCTACATCAATTGAATTGTGCATATAGACATCAGTCTTTTTTTTTACACAATAATGATTCCTCCACATTTTCTCACAATATCTCAATGTCTTTATGTAAAACAATGAAAAAAATGCACAATTTTACTCTGTAAAATACAAAAAGGAGTGATTTTATTATTCCTATTTTTTTATTGAAAGGTTAGAACTTCAAGTTAGATGGTACTCCAAATACTTTAGGTCATAGGGATTCAGCGGACATACAATTTGGACTACTGCTATATAACTGTTTGTCTGTTTTAGCACAGTTTAAATACAATGTCTAAGGCAGTTCAAAATGGAAAACCCATCCTCAAATGTCCTGGAGTGGGACTTGGGGTTCTTGTGACAGACTCCTCCAGTCCAGGATGTGTCCTGTTAGGAAAAAGAAAAACCAGAGTTGGGAAAGGCACCTACCAGTTACCAGGAGGTCACATTGAATTCGGGTGAGTTTACTGTCACAAAAATGCATCAATGTGGTCTTTTACTAATGTATCAAATTCTCTCTAATTCCTGCTTATTCGTTAACTTTTCTTATGCCCCAGTGCATTAATACACATGTGTTGCATGTAAATTAATCTCAATTATCAGAGAAACTTGGGAGGAATGTGCCCAGAGAGAGGTGATGGAGGAAGCTGGTGTCCGACTAAAGAACCTTCGCTTTGGATCAGTCGTCAACTCCATCAGATTGGAGGAAAACTACCATTATGTCACAATCTTCATGCAGGGAGAACTGGACAGGTCTTTCTCAGCTGAACCAGTTCATTTGGAGCCAGAGAAGAATGAAGGTAAACCATTTCTTTGAATGTGTTGTTGCCTGTGTAGTCTCAGACCCAGATGGCCCACCCACAGATCATTCATGATAGTGATAAAAATCTGTCATGTGAGACTATTGCCTGTCTCACGCCAACTTGGCAGTCACCGTTACAACAGGTTTTAGCAGTTTTGCGCAAATATTAAAATGTTTTTTGAATACAGTGTAAGATAATGATGACATGGCTTTTTATAAAGCACTAAAAGCTTAAATCCCATGTTTTTTTATTTTAAAAGTAATAGATATGTTAGACAAACTATTAATTAAGATGACATTAACATAGAAATAAAAGTAGATCTACACACAAGTGATCTCTGTCCCAATTTCAAAGTCTTGACCTTCTTAATTATATCCATCAGTTATAATCATACAATTTGACATAATCAGTTGAAGTGATATTCAGTTATTTGTAAGAATCGGTCACTTTATATTTTGTTTAGGCACACTTTTAATATCTAAATAGGTGCTTTTTGGTCAGAATAAACACCAGTGTGAGCCAGACTATATGTCGATAGTCAAAACAAAGTATGGCAGCAAAAGTATCTGTAGATTTATTTTATATTTACATAGTCATGCACTGTATAAAACCAAATCATGTGCTTTGGATTTCTATGTCGTATGTTTGATTTCTATGAGTAAGTAGTGACCAAGTATAAATTAGTTTATTTAGTATTAGACATCAATTTATTATATGAGTGTAGCTAATACTGAAAAATTTGTGATTCGTTTTTAGTTATTTGACTGTATCTGCCCATATGCCAAGCAGCAGCAGTATTGCTGCAGTATTTCACTGCAAGCTTCAGATTCATTAGTTATTTCTTTCTCAGGTTGGAAATGGAGGCGGTGGGAGGATTTCCCCCCTGAAGAGCAGCTATTCTTGCCATTAGCCAACCTGAGACAGCAGGACTTCCAGCCATTCAGAAAGAGTTAAAGGAATTTTCTGTAATTAAGAAATCACCTTATCACTCCCTGACTTAACCTTATTCAGGTTCAGGTGAACTGAACTCGCCTTAGGCCTTTTCTCACTCATTTTGAAGAGAGCGTTGACCTATTGAAAGGACACACGCCCTGACCTTAAGTTGTGAGATTGACATACTGTACTTTCAGATTGACTGTTATGGATAATTAATTACTGAATGTTATTCCAGCTTCTCAAAAGCCTAATGATTTTATTGAACACACATGTGTATTAAATTATATCTAAGGCTATTAAGCTATTAGGTCTTATCAGTCATATTTTTTTTGTACATGCCAGTATATTAAGTATACAGCATGTTATGTGTGATATTTTGTTAAAATATTTAGGTAACAGTTTACAATAAGGTCTGTAATTAACATTACTGAATGCATTAGGTATCCCAAAAGCAATACTTTTACAGCATTTAATTTCGCCCAATGTTAATTTCTACATATATACATTTTCACATTTCAAGTAATAAACTAACATGAACCTGTATTAATAATGAATTGTACAGTATTTTATTGTAAAGTGTTACCGATATTTCATCATAACTTCCTCATGCAAATTTACTCTATCTGTTCCCACCAGACAAAACCCTTTGCATTTGTAATACTACTGCAAGGATTTCATAACATATTATTTTTCCACATAAACCTTACCTGCACTCAAATAAACATTACATGGTAGTTTTCAACCTGGTAGCTTGGACAGTTGGGCGTTAGAAACCACGCCCCCTATCAGTGAACTGATTATATTATATTATATTATATTATATTATATTATATTATATTATATTATATTATATTATATTATACTATACTATACTATACGTTGTGTGTTCATGTAATTTATTTATTACATTGAAATATAACTTTATTAAAATAAAACAAACGATGTTATGTATATTTGGTGGAAACAGCGCCCCCTCCCCGTTCATTGATGAACATGCAGTCTGAATCCGGTCGCTCGAGCTAAATGCGCCACAGCAAGTTGTGAAGCAGCACGGTGTACAGAGAGGTCGTCGGATTCGCCAAGCTTTCGCTGTAGTTCGGTGGGGGGAAAAATACCTTGACAAAACAAATTTCAGTTACACAACATGGTGAAACTCGCTTTCAACTCCGCTCTCGGACAGAAGGATTTAAAAAAGGAGGAGAAGGATGAAGCGTTGATCCCTCAGGATGTGGTGAGTTTCGTTAGCACAAACGCTAACCGGCTATTGAAATTCAACACAGCGTTAATAACAACATTGCTTTTAGCCATTACATTTTTTTATAACGTGTTTATTTGTTGTAACTGTGGTCGGTCAGAGTGTTTAAATAAACATATGACAACATTAAATGAATACATAAATGATGGATTTTTACAAAAATAAACAAAGTAAATAAAAACATAGTTGATGTTTGACTGGAATATAGACGTTATTTACATCAGTATGACTGAAACACGTTTGTTTGGGCTTTGTGAGGATTATAACCTTATTTTTTATCTGGTAGTTTTGTTTTTGTGTGTGTAGAGGGGAAGCCATCTCCTGCCTTGTTTCTGAGTGTATGTATGTGTGTGAGTGAGTGTCAGACAGCTTTGAGTTTACAGGAAAATGGCCGACAGTCCAACACAGACACCAGGATATATACACAAAAATCCTATTGCATTGCACTTTTGAGATGTTTTCCATCAAGATTCCTAATGCATGCACGTGCAATGTTCAGATAAGTAAAAAATATTGCATTAAAAGGAATGCACGTTCAAAGGTGTGTGTATGTGTAATCATGCATTGCATTTTTTAATGCTTGTTCTAGTAGCCTGATGCATGTCTGTGCAGTCATTGCAATATTTAAAATTAAACCGTTCATTTCATATGAGATTTGCATTTAAAGTAATGTGGCTGTATAAATTTGTCCCTTGCACTTCCTGAATAGGTTGCAGTCGTAAACATAGTAAAATCAGGAAGAGGAAATACATGTTTAGCCAGCTTATCGTGGGAGGCTTTCATTAGTGTGAGACCAGCTCCCACTCAGATGCATGCACCGTCTGGCTGCTTCTGTTCCTCAGATACGATCATCAGCTGCCACTGAGGATGAGTCAGCGCCTAGTGTGCGAATTGGGTTGATAATCAAGAAGAAGAGGTTGTGAATCATTCATAAGACACTGTTGTGTGCTGAAACACTGCCACTGCGATCAGACCAATGGTGCAGCCTGATCTCACTGGCACTATTTCAACAAGGAGCGTTTCTGCAGGCATATGTCTTATGAAAGAAGAAGAAATTGATTCAGAAGGTTTCATGCATGGAGCAGTGCTTCTTACCTTTAGACATTTCTGGCAATCAGAGACTCTAATACTTATCTAAATTGGTTAAAAGGTGTCAATTCATCATGAGATGAGCTGTAAAGATCGTGCTGTGTGGTCTGAAATCCTCTGTCACACAGGTGATCAAAGCCTCACTGAACTACCAAAACCAGCCACCTTTGTTCCTTGGAAAAACTCCTGAAGGCTCTGGTTATTTAAACAAAGACGGCCTCTGTTAGCCAAGCCATAATCTGCAGTGTGTGTGTGTGTGTGTGTGTGTGTGTGCGCGAGGGCAAGGCTGTGTGTATTTGAAACGGGTGTGTTTGTGTGTAAACGTGAGAGTGAGTCTTTGAAGCTTTTTGTCT